AAAAGAATGTCTTTGGCTGAATGTATGCCTCTCAAGATAACAAACATTTTAAAGTGAAAGACCTCAGAAGAGGTACTTTCGTAGAAGGAGACCCGCACCCAGGAATCAGCGAAACCACGAACTTTGGATGCAAAAGCAAGAGGCTTTATTAGTAGCGCTGGTACCCCGGGGCTTAGCTTTTGGTAGGCTAAGCCCTGAGCCAAGGGAGAGGGGTCCTTATATAGCTTAAAAAGCACAGTGCAGAAGCGAAAAGCATAGTTACAGGGATTCTATTGGACAATTTAATGAGGTACAGAGTTATTTTAGGTCAGTATATTCTCAAGGTCTGCACCTGGTACAACAGACCCAATTCCCCCCTCCGCTGGGTGAACCGGCTTGGGAGGGAGCCAGCCGCCAGGCGTGTGGGTGCGAGCGCGTACGGGAGTGTCACGGAGAGAGAACCAGCCAGGGGGTGGGGGCTTTCAAAAGGGTATTAAAGGGGGGAATTTAGGAGAATTCAGAATTTAGATGACAAAACAAAAGTTTTTTAGTCCTCATATAAAACAGACAAAACACCAACATATTAGAGCAGAACAACAAAACAGAAAGTCACCAAACCACCCAAGGGAAGCATCAGCAGCACACATATGGGACATTATATCATTCAGATTTCCACAATAGAGCAAATGACACTAACAAACAAATGCTCATGAAGTGTTTGCAGTATCGGCATCAGAATCAGTGAGGCCTCCAGAGAACTCCAGAATAGCCCAATGTGTTTGCTGGAAGATCCGGCCAGGCCAGTCCAGTCAAGGACAGCTGAAACAGAAGGGATGTTTCTTTCTTCAAAAACAGGAGAAAGCAGGACACACCTAATAAGGTGTGTGTTGGAGGAGGGAGAGACTGAGGAATTGGATTGACGGAACTCTGAAAAACAGCCTAAGGAGACTTCCCTTCCAGGAAAGAGATTCACACTGTGGACAAACTATCCAGAATGAAGGATAATTGAGTAGGCAAGAAGCAAAGACAAGAGAAAGTCAGCTGAGAGTATGAGCTAATTGGAAAAGCTGTCTTAAACCACCTCAAAAACTTCAGAAAACAAATTTCACAGAAAAATTATCTCAAAATATGTGAGTCAAGGTTTGAAAAAAAACGTTGCAATGAGCAGGCTGGGGAGAGCTCAGTCTCTTAGTGCCTGCTTTGTAAGGATAAGGATCTGAGTTTGCTTCCTAGACCCACATAAAAAGTCAAACACAATGGCAGGTGTCTATGAATCCAGCCGGGGGGGGGGGGGGGCAAAGGCAGTAGGATCCCCAGGACTTGTGAGCCAGATATCATAGCTGAATCTAAACTTCCAGGCTCAGTGAAAAACTCAGTCTCAAAAGATAAGGTGGAAAGCAATACAAGACACCCCACTTCAACATCTGGCCTTCACATGCACTCATACTCACATACAAATGCATGAACACATGGATACCACACACACACACACACACACACACACACACACACACACACACACACTCACACACATGCGTGCATGCACACATGTACAACAAAGAAATGAAAAGAGTTGTAATGAAAGGGAATAAGAAGGAAGCAACATTCCTACAGATGACAAAACATACCAGAGAGACAGGCCCACAAGCAGATCAAAACTACTTCTTCAAAGAGAGTACAAAGGCCCAGAAGAGCAAGAAATGGTAGTGTTTCTGAACTAGAAATATTCCAAAATGAAAAACTAAAAGATCTCAAGAATGAATAATAGAATTGAAAATGCCTTAAGAAGACAAAAAGAAAAAAAAAAAGTGGTGAGTTGAAAAGGAAGAACAGAAAGGGGGCTGTTACCATTCTCTTTCTGTTGCTAGAATAAAGACAACATGACAAAGAGCAACTGGCGAGGAAAGGGTTCATTTCATCTTATAGCTTGTAGTTCATATCTGAGGGAAGTCACAGAAGGAAGTTAAAGCAGGAACTTAGAATCAGGAACTGATGAAGAGGCCATGGAAGAGTACTGCTTTCTGGCTTGCTTCCCATGGCTTGCTCAGCCTACTTTCTTACATAACCTAGGGGTCACACTAACTACGGTAGACTAGGCCTTCACAATTAATCAGCAATCCCAAAAATACTCAACAGACTTGCACATAGGTCAATCTGATAGAGGCATTTCTCATTTGATGTTCCCTTTTCCTAGATGAACCTAGCTTATATCAAGTTGACAAGAAACTCACTAGCATAATTGACCCTTGTCAATTTGTCACAAAACTCATCACTATTAAACCATAACCTTTCCTTTCTTTCTTGTTTATCCCCAAGATGTCATGTTAATATAAAATACAGTATAACTTTAAAAGTCCCACAGTCTTTAAAAATTTTAAACACTTTAAAAGTTCAGTTTCTTTACCCAATATCTCTTTAAAAAAAAAAGTCCAAAGTCTCTCAACTTTGGGTCCCTGATAAATAAAAGTAAATTAAATACTTCCTTACTCCAAGAGGGAAGAAGATGGGTACAGTTACATTCAAAACAAGGCAAAATCAACATTCAGCAGAATAACAAATTGAGTAGCTCCATATCTGTCACCCGGGATTCAATAGCGATCTTCAGGCTCCAAAGGGCTTGGTCAGCTTCCCTTCTCTGGCTCTGCCTATCCACAGGACACTCAGCTTGTCTTGTAGGCTCAAGCAGGCTCAAGCTCCACTCCAAACACACTGTCGGTTTTGGTGGTTATCCCACAGACCTGGCATCTCCATGATGCTGGAGTCTTTACTCAGACTGAGGCAGTGCCTTTACCAGTGTCTTCCTGGCCTCTTGTACAGACTCCAATCCTGCCACATAGTGCCATTAATCCTGAGGTACTCTGCTGTATCAGAGGCAGCACATTTACGGACGACCCCTCCCCCTGGGATCTCACAATGCCAAGCTTCCAACGCTCTCCACAACCCCTTCAATCTTTCAGCCTTTATGCCACAAACCCAGAACCATATGGGAGATTCTTACACATTACCAGGTTTGGTTGATCACCATGGACCACAGCTTCTGTGTGATAACCCAGAAAATTTCAGATTTCATCTTAATGATACTGGCCTCTTCTTTGTAACATCTGATCTCTCAGCTCCAGCTGACCAGCATCAATTGTCCTAGGAAAACAAAGGCTTCACTTCAGTGGTGCTGGTCTCTTGTTAACCACAGCCAATTCTTTAGCTCCAGCAGACCAGAAACCCAGACTCTTTCTAAAAATCATCACAGGAAGAGTCCCAGTAAAGTCTCCGATGGACTCTCCAACTTCCCTCTGAAATGTCACAAGGCAGGCCTTCATTGTCTGCATTGCTCCCAACATTCTGGCCTCCCACAAAACATCCCATTAAGCTTTAAGCATAAATGACTTTTCCAAACACTTCTAAACTCCACCACCAAAAACATGGACAAGTCTGTCACAGTAGCATGCCATTCTCTGCTACCAATGTCTGCTCTACTTTGCTTTCTATAGTTGTAATAAAAACACCATGACCAAAAGCAACTTTGGGAGGACAGGATTTATTTCAGGTAGCTTGTAGTCCATCACTGAGGAAGTTAAGGCAGGAATCTGAAACCAGGAAAGGAAGCAGAGACCATGAAGGAATACTGTTCCCTGGCTTGCTCATCCTGCTTTCTTATGTAACCCAGGACCGCCTGCCTAGGCAGGGTACCACCCACAGTAGGCTTGGCCCTCCTACACAAATCATTAATTCATCAAGAAAATGCCCACAGACTTGCCCAAAGATCAATATGAAAGAGGCATTTTCTCAGCTGAGTTTCCTCTCCAGATGACCTTGACTTGTGTTGATAAACAAGCAAAAGACAAAACCCAACCAGCACGAGGACAAAGTGGCAGATATTTACTATAGACAAAAGAGATCCAATATACAAAGCATATATTACATATCCTTGAGTGGGAGGAAGATGAGTGTGGGGTGCAGGGTTAGGAAACAGAACAAATACTACCAACTGTAGTTCAAAAGAAGTCCTTCTCCCAGTTGAGAGGACTAGAAGCAGCCTCCATGGGATTCAATGAAAGAGAGAGTCAAAAGAAGAAAGCATATTCTATCACAACAGGAAGAAAAGAAACTAATTGGAGAAGTGGGTAAATAGCCTCTTCATGGAATGATACCAGGAAACAGTATCTTCATATGAAAAAGTGGTACTAGGCTCCTGTCTCTCACCCTGCACAAACCTGGACTCCGATGTCAAAGAACTTAAGATCTGAAACATTGAAAGTTCTAGGCGAAACATAAAACACTTCAGGAAAGCACTGCCCTTTTCCCTTTTGCTTTGTTTGTTTTGAGACAGGGTCTCACTGTGTAGCCCTGGCTGGCCTGGAACTTGCTATATAGATCAGGCTATTGTGAGAGCCAAAGTTACATTTTAAGTTTTAATTACAATGCCCAAGAGATCCATGAAACAAACAAACAAACAAAAGAATACCTCTGAGATGCAAGCCCCTTGCCCAAGGACAGATAGTTCCTGAAATGCTGGAGGCTATTGTTCATGGGAGATAATAAGTCACAAGTTTTCACTCCCCTAAACAAGTCTGTTTGACTCAACTAACCGGGTGTGATTGATCACCTCTGGGTGGGAAGGTCACAGGCAGGAAATATATCAGGATGTACACTTGTCCCTGATTGGACCTGGTGGGAAATACTTAAGTCCCTGCAAACCATGACTCAGGCCCATTTTCTGGGAAACCAGAGAAGGACCTGGCAGGAAGAGTCTAGCCTGGCCAGTATTTGATTAGAGCTTGCTTCAAATTTGACTTTAAACTGTAGTTGTGGTTTTATTCTTGACTGGTGGGATTAACATTTGCCTTAAACCCAAAGAGATCTGCCTGTTTCTGCCTCCCCAGTGCTGGGATTAAAAGGTGTATGCCATCACAACCCAATTTGACCTTTTAATTTTTTTCAAAACTGTATTTTATTTTCTATTTAGCAATACACTTTACATATTAAATAACACTAACATAAAATGATTTGGTATAGTTCAGAACAGAAGACAAAAGGGAAATTTTTCAGTTTATAAAATCCTCCACTCCATTTTTTTTTTTTTTTTAGATTCACCTTTTCTAATAGGGTCAGTACAACGAATATAATCAATGCTGATTCCTATTGCATTGATGGCACATGCACAATCCTTTCTTCCACATACATTAATAAACAAATAAATGTAGTTTCAAAATTAAAAGACCTTCTGCACAGCAAAAGAGACAATAAGCAGCAGCTCACAGAATGAGAGGACATTTTTGCCAACTGAACATCTGACCCAGATTCAAGTAAGAAAGACAAATATTCCAAGCTCTCCAAGATCATCCAAACTGGCTAGTCAATTGAGCAGACACTTCTTTTAAAAAACTGTAAAATTTTAATTAAAATTTATGTGTAAAGGTGTTTTGACTGCACATATGCCTGTATACCACATTCGTGCTGGTGCCCATAAAGGCAGAAGAGGGCATTGGATCCTCTGCAACTGGATGGTTATCATCTGTTATGTAGTGGTGGGATCTGAACTCTGGCTCTCTGAAAGAGTAATAAAGGTTATTAACTGCTCAACCATCTCTCTATGAACAAATACTTTTTAAAAGAAATACAAATAATTAGTAAATGCTTGAAAAATGTTCCATATCCTTGGTCTCAGGGAAATGCAAATCAAAACTGCTTTGAGACTGTTTTACCCCAATCAGAACATCTATCACCAAGAAAACAAATGACAAATGCTGAAGAGGACTGCAGAGAGAGGAACACTTGTAAACTTCCTCGGTGAATGTAAACCGGTACATTTACTATGGAAACCAGTAGGGTGTTCCTCAAAACAGAAAAAGCAGAACTATCATATGATTCATCTATGCCAGCCCTAAGTCAGTCCCCACAGAGACCTGAACATATTCATGTTTATTGATTGTAGTACAATAGCCAAGATCTGGAACCATCCTAAATGTCCACCAACAATTGAATGGATAAAGAAAATGCTATATACATACACAATAAAATATTATTCAGTCGTAAAGAACAAAATTATGTTATATGTAGGAAAATGTAGAGAACTGGAGGTTATTATGCTAATCAAAATTAAGTCAGACAAATATGCAGTATTTTCTCTCATATGTGTACACATTGATGAGAGTAAAAAGAGAGCTATGAGAGGGAGAATAAACAGAAAAGGGGAGGATAGGGAGTAAGTGTGGGCACCAGAATATACAGGACATGAAAATAGAAGGAGGGACTATTTGGGGATCAGTGAGAAGGGGAAGGGTACTGGAATCAAACAGTCCAGAGGAATAAGAGCAGAGTATAATGACATACATGTATGGAAACATCACAATGGAAACCACAATTTTGTGTGCTGGATAAAATAATCAATTAAAAGCATTTTGTTTGAAAAGAATAACTTCATTGACATTGACATATGGGTTTGAAAACACAAACTGAAAGAACATATTTCATTGAGAACACTAATCTGGAGTTATCAGCATGATGACACATTCCTCTAGAATTCTCAGACTCTCAAGAAAGAAAAATAATGAAAATATCTTCGTAGCTAGACAAACAATGCAAATTAGTTTGGAGTGAAAGAAATTGGATTTTATCATAAGTTTTAGTGGCCACATTCTATGCCAGAAGAAAATCAAGTAGCATATTTAGAGGGTGATAGAAAGGAAGTGTAAGAAGGTAATAAATACGATGGATGAACTCTGCCACATGCATATATGTAAGCCCATCGGATCATGAGAGTGCTTTAAATAAGGGGACCGGCAGCCACTTTCAGATAGGAAACCGATGCATTGTGAAGACAGCACATATGAGACAACAACCAACCAGTCCTGTTTCACAGGGTGGCGAGTGGGTGAAGGCAATCACCTCTTCATGAAGCATTCAAAGAAGCCAAAAGAATAATAGAATTTGGATATTACAGCGCTCTTATATTAATTAATTAATCAATTTGGGGGAGGGGGAAGTACACGTACGGAGGTTGGAGGAAAACCTGTGGGTGTCAGTTCTCTTCTTCCACTGTGTGAATCCCTGGGATCCAAGTCAGGAGTCAGGTTTGAGGACAGGTGCTCTTATCCACTGAGCCATGTTGCCAGCCCATATTATAATGTTTGATCTCCTATGAATAAGGGAAGCTTGGCATTGAGCATCAACAGATGCTGAGGTAACAAAAAGGCAAGTACAAATAGGTGTCTCAAGAAGAGTGGGGCAGCACTCGCTTACCAGAGGCATCAAACTCTGAACCCTGCTGGGCGCCCTGGGAAAATGGGTCCAGCACTGCTGCCAACAGCCTAAGAAGCCCCTCCTCCCTTAGGCACCTAAACTCAAATAAAGCTTGGACTTTGACTACACTACAGACAACAATTTAAGATGAGTCAGGGTGAAGCAGAGTTAGTGAGGTTTAAGGGCAAGCACACTCTTTAGATTTGAGAGTAGAGGGTAGAAGGAGAGATTACACAACAGTGAATATACAGCACAAGACTGGATGCCAGCATTTTGAAAGTCACACTTAGGTATCTTTGTGATGGCTACATTCATGATTCTGTGGCTTTCTAAGTTATGCTGCTGAACGGATGTAATTTACAACAAGGCTGACAGATTAAGCAAAGAAAGCTAAAATTTAAGTAATTTAAAAATTAAGTAAAAATTACGTGAGCCGCTTTGCTTAATTTTCTTAGAAAAACGTTATTAATGATAAGTAAAATTATAAGGTGGCCTGATGAGGTACATGTTTAGATTTAAGGAGAGAGGTATGATAATATGTAAGCTTCAAGATCACATGCTTTCTGGCTCTAAGTAAGCATGGATCATTTGCTGTTTTTAGCATCCTTATTTGAGATGTCTTTATGAAAGCACACATCTCTGCAGGCAAGTTTGGCTTTATTAATTTTGTTGACATTTCTTGACTTTTTGTGAGAAGGAAAGGCAAGCTGGATTTCAGGCTGAAGGGCTTATTTTTCTTTTCCTGTCCCTTAATTTTCTTTTTGTCTTGCTGCAAAACACAAGTATAAACAGCCCTGGGAGTCTCTTGCCATTGTGCAGAACACAAGAACACCCAAGCTGCTTGTAAGTATCCAAGAGGTAAAATTTAGACCAGAGGGAAGTAGGCATGACAAATTATCCATGCTCTTAACAAATAAACTTTAAGGGGGAGATAGAACCAGAGGGTCAGCCAGGAGATTAGCACAGATTTCAAAGACCTTCAAGTAAAACCAAAGAGATGACCACAGTTTCAAGAAACATTCAGACAGTAAAAGCTGTAATCAGTGACAAGTACAGTTTAAAAACCTGTCTGCAAAAATCTCAGCACATTCCTGCATATGACCCCACCCCTTGGATCTGAGCTGGCTTTAGTGACTGACTCAATTGTAGCCAACAGAATGCACTGGAAGTCAGTCTGCATGACTTCTACCACAAAAATGCTGACATTTCCTCCCTTCTTGAAAGGACACTCACTTTTGGAATCTTGAGCCACCATGTGAGAAATCTGATTACTGCCAGGGAGCCTGGGTCTCCCCCAGACACCACAGATAGGCTCTCTGTTCTGAGATGGAGATCCCAGCAGAGAGTCAGGCTCAGCTTTCAGACATGTGACTAAAAATGTCTCTGCCCCATTTCAGCCCTCAGCTGTTGAGTCACCTCCAGATGCCGAGTCTTCCCTGAAAGCCATGGAATGGAGATCATAATATGCTATTGCTGACTTATGCTGACGGGTAATAGGCAGTTGTTGGCATCTTTATCCACTTCTACACTCAGGGTTTCCATGTTAGTAGTTTGAAATTGGTAGGAGTATTTACACCACAGAAATCAGCAAGCATTCAGATCAGGGTGTTGATTACTGACTGTGCCTATGAATTCCTGACCTTCAGAATGCAGTAGGTGAATGAGTTAAGCCACACAGTTTGGTAGTCATTAATTATGGATGGCAGTGATGGGAACCGCAAGGAAATGGGCTTTGTTAACAAGACTACTGTCCTGTTTCTTTTGGGAGAGAAAAGGTATTGAGACTTCTGCAGTGAATGGCAAGTTCTCTATTTTTAAAATTGCTTCGTAGTTTTTATTTGATTATTATTATTGTTGTATGGATGAGGGGCTTACTGTGCTGCCCCAGGCTAGTCTCAACCTCGTGAGCTTGAGTAATCAAGTATCTAGGACTACAGTTATGTGTCTTCACAACTAAAGTTGGCAAGTTCTCTAATCTTATCAGTGGTTGTGAAGATATTCATCCAATAATACTTAATTAAATCACAGATTTTTCATGTGATTTTCTGTAATCTTTTATAAATAAAACATGTTTTAAAAGAAATCTTTTTGTTTCCAATATATTCGGCAAGATGCATTTGGATATGGAACTACTATTTTCTAACATTAACAATTTAAATGTAAAAATTGAAACCTAGATTATGGAAGAGGGCACTAGGACTTTGTGCTCATATCATATATCAGCACTAGAGAAACCAGCAATGTTAAAAAGTGTCTCTCCAACAGAAGAGACATAGTCCTGTTTTTCACCCAGAAGGCTGGGAAGGGATGCCTGGTAACCTGTGCTGTCTGCAGGACCAGACCACACCTGAGTCCCCATCTTCCTCCCTCAATGTTTGCCTTGAACATTGCTTCTCAGTCAATAGAGCACATCCTTAGGGGATGTCACACCTACTTTATAGCTTGATGACCTCTGTGATGACCAAGACCATTCCAGATCCTCCCCAGGCCCTTAAGCTACAGAACCCATTCTTACAGCAGAGGTCACATGCACTTAGCAAAAGAGTTTCTATTCAGTCACACTTTAAGCTTTATTGTGCACACAGGATTGACATAACTGTTAACAGAAGACTTTCCCCCCCAAGTTGTACTGTACTTAAATGCCTAAAGTATGGTGCCTGGTGTTAGAACCTAGAAGTCTGAACCAATACTGGCTACTGAACTGTGTTGAATCAGCCTTCTCGCCTCACATGGATCATTTATTCTACTGACCCTGGTGTTTGCAGTGACTCCCACAGAAGACCAACAAAACTGTGTGGTGACATGAAATACAATCAGAATAGAAATGGTCGCTTAGTGTCAAAGAAGAGATGCCATCGTGTGGTCTGAGTTTCTAATTCCCATAGGACAAAGTTGAAAACAAAATTAATATGTCAGGAATGTAAGTAAAGTCATCTTGTGTGGCTTGGAATAATGTAATGTTTTCAAGATAGGAGTCAGCAACAAGGCAGCTCCTATGTAAGCCATGCCTATGGTAAGCTCTGATAACCAACTCCAAAATGGCTCAGATATGTTAGTGAATCAACCCTAAGCTGTGAGTCCAGATAGCATGGAGGAAATGCCCACTGGAACAATGCAAAAAACTGGAGCTTTGGAGGCTATACACAAATGCCACTACCATAGTCCAGAGACAGGGCATTTCAAGCCTTGGCACTGATTCCCTGCAGCAAAGGGACTTTGAGATTGGCTACTGTGTGATCCTGGCTCTGGCAACCACAGGTGGGTTCACACATGCCTGCCTGTCAAGGCTAGCCTCTGTCCAAAGCTGTCAAGTGTCACCCTCCCTGCCTGCCACAGCTGAAGGAGGTCCCTGTGGATACCAGAAGATCTTGCTCCCAAAGCGTCCTCACTGGAGAGGACCCCACCAGCAGAAGTCTGCAGCATTTCCTATGCCACCATTCCCTGCTCTATAAAATGTCTGTTTACATGACACTGCCGCAACAGCATGGTATTGGAAGGCATGTTTGTGTGAATAAATGGAGCATATTCTAAAGGCACATCTCCTGGGGACATCCTAATTGCTGAGTGCCACACAGCCTACCAGATTTGCTCACTACATTTATTATCTACCAAATGTCCTATTATAACTTATTTTGAAGGGCCGAGGACCTCACCCAGCCCCTTGCTTTGGCAGTCAAGACAGGATGCAGAAAAGACCCAGCAAGACATAGGCCTCTGATTCAGCAACATGTGCTGAGCCCCCAAACTTGTCCTAATCACTAGGAAGCCAGAAACCCTCCATGTGGCAAGAAACCAGTCAGAAGTTAGCTGGTGGGCTCTGGATGTGCTTTACTGATAATAGTGGAATGCAGGGCATAGCAACTGCCCTGGGATGACCTCTAGGCATAGTAACCTTCCTGCAGCTGCAGCTGACCAATCAACTCAGGACAGGTTGCCTAAGCCCGGAGGTGCACCAATCCTGACACTGTTTCTATGCAACTAGTGGACTCCCAGACACTTCCCTTGCTCTACCTCAACATATGCCCTGCCCCACTGCTGCTTGGGGTCCTTCCTTCTCTACCCAATTTTCGGACAGACAGAAGACCCAAGTTAATTCTAGTTAACTCGTTAATAAAAAAGACTCTTTGCTTTTGCATTGGATCTGGTCTCATGATAGTTTGGGGGGGGTCAGATTCTGGGCACAATAATATGTGAATGTCTCAGAATTTGGTGGATATAAGTATAAAAGCCTTATTATAGTTTGCATTATATTTTATATGGAACAGAAATAGAACTTGTGGAATCTGTATTTATTCACGAATAGAGTTCAACATATGCAATGTTCTTATTTGAATATACTAGATGGTGCTGCACATTTGATTACATTGCCTATTTGTCCCTAATAGTTGGTTCCCTGTATTTAGACAATGTTGTGATGACAATGGGAACAGTAACAATGTCATACCAAGCAGTTGTAGATAAAACTCTCAGACCTGAGTTGTGCTGTATAGATAAAGTACATAAACAGCTACACAGTACGATCTAAGAAAGCTCATAAGAATATCTGGGTGGCACAGATTCTCATATTTCACCATTAGAAGTTTTTCATTTCTATCTGTAAAACAAATATTCCTAAAAAAAACATGGTATCTAAAGTTGCTTTTAGGCGACACCTTAGTAAGACGTAAGTGCCATTATTCTTAGAGAGACTTATTGCACACACACACACACACACACACACACACACACACACACACACAAGAATAGGTGAAAATTTCCCATCTGGGGTGACAATGTTTCCTCCAAGAGTCAAAGACCATCTAATAAAAAACCCCAATACCAGGCATGAGAAGCCCTCTTTTGAGTTTTTGGTCAGGGTTATCCAAGAGAGTCCCAAAATGTTACACCATATTGCCATTGCCTCTTAGAGGTGGAAGGTTAAGTCCCTATTGCTGAAGGCACTATACACTTCACAGAGCTGGAACTGACCTGAAAGCCTCCTTCCTGAGGACTAGTTTTCATGGTACCAGAAGGCATCATGCAAGATTTCAAAAGAAGGAAGCAACCAGAAGTCCCACCCAAGTGTGATACCTATGAACCAAACCAACAAGCAGTATGACATAACCCTAAAGGTGCAATAGTGGCACACATACCTTGGCAGTAAACATCAGCTCTCTTATTGGGCTTAAGACCCACTCAACAAGAGGGAACTCATGCATGGTACTGGAAACCTAGTCAACTACCTGGGCTAGTCAATCCATAGATCTTGAAGGAGAACCTACAACCGGTACTTTACTAAACCAGAATAATCTGTAACTATCTAAATATTTGTCCTTATACCTGTTAGATTTCTCCTTAAATTAGAAGTCAAAGGGTGCAAGATGAGACATGAGACTAAGAGATACATTAACCATAGTTTATTATGGGCCTGGCAGAGCAGAGAGAGTAAGAGAGAAGAGAAACAGAGTTAATGGCTGACTGCTATGGTCGGTGGCCTGAGAGAAGGAAGAGAAGTGAAGGGAGTAAGAGAGAAGAGGCAGAGAGAGAGAGAGAGAAGAGAGTGAAGCAGGAAGAAGTTGGAACTTTTAAAGGGAAGACCGTGCATGCGCACTGAGGCTTCACTGAGGCTTCACGCATGCGCAGTATCTTCTTGCAGGTCCAAAATGCATGATGTGGTGATGGTGTAAGAAGTCCCTGTGCGTGCCCGCCCGTCGTTAGGGGGCGGGGTCAGTCTCTTAAAGAGGTAAGGCAGGTCAGCATTAATGCTTTAACCTTTCAGTACCCACAGACAAAAGTAGTTCTCACCCCTCATCAAGCAAACTTCTCTTTGCAAAAGAGACAGACCACTATAGAAAACCACAACCACTCCAAATGCATAGTTGTGGAGTCCATCATGATATAACTCCTGCCACTAAGGCTCAGGGATCATTATGGAAAAGGGGGAGGCAAGACTGTAATAGCCAGAGAAACAGGGAGTGTTTTTGTGTGAAATTTTGTCTACTTGGAATGTCAGAAGCTACACCCTCAAAGTCTCACCAACTCATGCCTAAACATGAACTGAACAAGGACAATAGATATGCTAATGTAAACAGAGGAAAGCCCAAGAGGCCTCAACCTTACACAAAGAAGACAATCAGCTAAGGAATGCTGGGAGCAATAGAAAGTTTTCCCCAGGGAAGAGCACATCAATTCATTATTATTCAATATCAAATGGTCAGCTGTTAAAACATACACATACAAGTTATTAACATTATACAGACTGAACAGGTTATATTTATGTATGTAGGGGTGTGTGTGTGTGTGTGTGTGTGTGTGTGTGTAACAACAATTAATGAAAAAGAGGCCATGGAGGGAGGAAAGGGAGATATAATTGTATTAATCTCAAAAGACAAAAGGAATATTTTTTAATTTTTTGTTATCAAAAGGAAATGTTTAGGAATGAGAGAAAGTGCAGTGGGTGAACAAGATGACTAAGGTAACACCATCTTGTTCTGACTCCATTTTATGTTCACTTAGACAGTTCTCAGCACTCTACCCACCT